GATAAAAATATTAAACATATATGCTCAAAATACCTCATTCAATTTTAATTACATGACTATTAAAAATCAAACTAAAAATAAAAAAATATCAACTAACCAATAACAATTATTATGAAACAAAGCCAATACCAGTATAATTAAACCCTCTAATAGAATATAATCACCTTTAAAACAACAAAATCAAACATATAATACAGTAAACCGGTATAAACATAAATTTTGATTCTTGATCGCTCATCATAATAAAAAAAATTGTTTATCATTAAAACATCTATTCAATAAATTATCAAACATATATGTTTCTGGTTTCACATAGCAGTATCATGCAGCTGCCTTATTAGTCTATTGGTTAACTTATAACTATATATGTATTTGTTAGTATTACATTATTACATGTTGTACTTAATAAAATAAAATGAAGCCCTACTCAGTATTAAAAAGCTACCATCGTAAGGCCATACAAATTTAATATCTTGGTTTTTATGACATGAGACTTTAAATGAACATGGTTGACTAACTTTTTTTAAAAAAAATTTCATATATGATTTTTTTTTAAAAGTCCACCTGGCGATTAATCATTTAATTTGCATTTATTGCAGCGAGGACTCATTTAGCTTAACATTAATATTAAATGTTTGAAATGCAAAATTTTCGAAGCGCATAATTTTACACAAAACCCATAGAATTATTCGAAAAATACTGGTAAATTACCCGAAACTAAAGGATATTTCTGGATAACTTAATGGGTATTTTCAGATAATTCAGTAGGATTTTGTATTTCTTGAAATTTTGCTGGATGGGTTCCTTATGACGTAATTGATCTAAATTTTGTACTCTAATTTTAAATTAGGCCCAATCCTGCTCAATCCGGGCCCAATCTAAACTTTTGAGCTAAAACCAATCTGACGGTTGGGATTAGATTACAATCCAAATCTGATCTGATTTACATTTTTAGAACACTACATACATACATACTTATATTTAACTTATTGTTATAAAATACTGCATACTTAACCAATTGTGCATATACTAAATTTTATCAGATTGTTCCCAAATATAGATTAACTATCATCCCTATGACTAGAGCTTCGATCCTTAATCCAACTATCTAGATTGATCTTTAAATCCAGATAAATTCAGATATTTAGATCAAAGATTTTTACTCAGATTGGTCAAAGAACTTAATTAATGAACCTAATGATATGCTACAAAGCTAGCTTTATATATAATCTAACTCGGATTCAATCTAGATTTAATAGAATCTGGATTGCTTGTCAAAAATAGGATCGAAGCTCTACCTATTACTATTTAGAAATTTAATAAATTATTTTTAACTGTGAACATCAAGCATAATGTGCATGTGACACATCATAATAATATAATTATATAGTTAATTAGTAAACTTATTATTTTATATAAAAGAAATTTAGTACTGATTTTAACGTTACTACTCTCTTTCAAAGTTTCTTTCTTTATCTTATTTTTATATCAAAGTGTTATACTTTTTTTTCTAATTTAAACTTAGATTTTACCAAATTTTATATATTTAATTCTTACTTTCTATTTTGGATTTATATTTGGTAAATTACAAATTCGTAGTTCGTTAAATTTAATATTTCTTTCTTATTATTTTTTTTAGCTCTTATTTTTCTCTTTTTACTTTATATTTTCTGCTTCTATATTTTATTAATTTGCTAAATATTAAAAATATTGAATATTTTCATATATTATAATAGCAAAAACTGGTTCTGGTACTATTATATCAAATATAGTGATACTAGTAAATTGCGAATCAGTTATTCTACAAACTAGAACATAATATACCCATGACCAGTTTAGATGAAAGAGGCCATTATATTTGGGCAAGAGTGAATATAGCTATAGGTCTGTCTTCTTTACCTGTATTAAGAAACTTGAGCTTCAAACCGGACAAAACATTTACTATAACTATCCTTGATATATTGAAAGAACTGGACAAAACAATTACTACAACTATTCTCAGTACATTGGAAGAACCAGACAAAACAATTACTACAACTATTCTTGGTATATTGGAAGAACCAGACAAAACAATTACTACAACTATTCTCAGTATGTTGAAAGAACCAGACAAAACAATTACTACAACTATCTTCAATACGTTGAAAGAACTGGACAAAACAATTACTACAACTATCCTCAGTATGTTAGAAGAATTGGAAAACAACAACCACATTAGTTCTCAGTATGTTGAGAATTAGCCAAACAGAGTAACAGTACACTTTATCATTATTATATAAACAAGAGAACAGAATAATAATTTATATTATTTATGTTCTTAAGCAGTAAATCAGGATGTAAGTATTTAATTATAGTGTAAAAAAAGT